TATCTATCTATCTATCTATCTATCTAGAGCCAAGGTGGCGCAGTGGTTAAAAGCAGCACTGCAGGCTACTGCTAGATCAGCAGGTCAGCGGTTCAAATCTCACCGGCTCAGGGTTGACTCAGCCTTCCATCCTTCCGAGGTGGGTAAAATGAGGACCCAGATTGTTGGGGTAATATGCTGACTCTCTGTAAACCGCTTAGAGAGGCCTGAAAGGCCTATGAAGCGGTATATAAGTCTACTGCTATTGCTATTGCTAGAAGATAGTCTGCTAAGAAGAAACACACCATTAGACAGTATTTTTCATTAGTAGAAATTATCAGATAGAGGTTCTTCAAGTAATCCTTGTGATATAAAGGAAAAAAATTCTTCTGCTGAGTTTAATTTGTAAAAAACAACAACAGATGTTTAGGGAGAATAAAAGCCAATTGATTTAATTTTCTGAATTATGTACATAGACATATAATAAATATGTATTTTTCATAATGTACTATATGGAACACTTTATAGAGAAAACAAGGGTAAAAATGTTAATGAGCAAAATAGTGTTATAATTTATTTGCAGTAATTCTTTATTAGATCCTCTAATAAATGGGTGAAATCAATTTACCTTCGTTTACGGTTCACCAATGTGAGCGCGCTCGCATTCACCACCTCAGCACATGTGCAGGACCTTCCACGCATGCACAGAGTGTCAAAAATAGGGCATGATGATGTCCGAGTGGGTGGCCGGAGCCTCCCACCTCCAGTGCTACGGGTTTGCCCAAAATGGATAGAAAAAGCTGAATTACGCCACTGCTCTAATATATATGCAAAATGAGAAAATATAGAATATAAAGTTTCTGTATTGCTGGCCACATAGTAGCATAACTCATCATTGTTTGAATCTTCTAATTTACAACTAGTAATATAATGACTTTAATTTTTATGAAAGTACTGTTTTCTGTCAGAAAACCTTTAAACAAACATAGCCATGATTAGAATAAAAAAAGATTTTAATCTTAGTTTGTGATTTGCCTGTTCTATCTTTCCTACCCAAATTCATGTATTGGATTGATATGGCTACTTTTCTTAATTGGAAGAATAACCAGGAATAAACAATACCATTATTTTTATAAATGCATTTTTAATTACAGATCTGCTTAATTATTGAGTACTATTTAAACTATTCTATGAGCCTTCTCACTATGGAAATTTATTTAGTTTTAGAAACACTTAAATGATAATAAAGCATTTTTTTCCATTCTACAATATATTATCATAATGAAGCTGTTACCTCTCAGTATGCATTATACCAAGTCTTAAGTAACATTTTAATGAGCTCAACATTACCATAAACCCATGGATTAAGCTAAATTGAATTTACTGGAAATGGAAAAGGTTCATTAAGAGTTAATTACATTGTTTAAGAAAGAATATTATTCATTTTATGAAGTCAGCTTGGCTAAGAGCCCATCAACATATCCATGGTTTCTACGAAGAAAAATAATATTCTATTCTATTATATAATGTTAATATATAATGATAACATTAACATGA